ACCGGCACCCCCAGTCCCAGGGTCTCCAGCCCCAGTGTCTCCAGCAGCAGCACCCCCAGACCCAGGGTCTCCAGTAGTAGCACCCTCACGCTCAGCAGCACCTCCAGCCCCAGCAGCTCCAGCACCTCCAGTACGAGCACCTCCGGGACCAGCACCACTCCCAGCTCCAGTGACGTCAGCAGAAGTACCTCCAGCGGCAGAGCCCCGAGCTCCAGAAGCGCGACCCTGACGGCGACCGTGCCAGTCGTGCAGCTGCTGTGAGGTGAGAGGCACACGCGGACGAAGGCGGCTACTCCAAGGAGACCGCGCAGCAGCAGACTCAGAACCCTCAGGCGTCGCACCCCCAGACTCAGTACCCCCAGGCTCCTCACGCTCGGGCTCAGCACCTCCAGACACAGCACCCCCAGGCTCAGGACCTCCAGGCTCCTCACGCTCAGGCTCAGCGCCCCCAGACTCCGCACCCCCCGGCTCAGCACCTCCTGGGTCCTCACGCGCAGGCTCCGCACCCCCAGGCTCAGCACCCCCAAGCTCCGCACCCCCAGGCCCAGCACCCCCAAAGACAGCACCACCCCCAGCAGGACCTGAGTCACCAGTGACCTCAACAGGCGCAGGCACGGGAGGGTCTACCTGAGAAACACCTGAAGGAGCAGGACCTGGCGCGGGGAGGGGGTCTACCTGGGGAGGACCTGGGGCGAGAAAGAGCGGCGGGGGGGGGCGAGGGGCAGTGCGGTAGGGAAAGACACGGTAAAAGGGGCCGGACTCATCAAAGGTGACGTCCTGAGACGGAAAGACACGGCGCGAGGCGGGGTCGTAAAACTGCCAGCCAGGCGCGTCAGGGACAAAGCCAAGGAAGACGCAGGGAATGGCGCGAGCGGAGAGCTTGTCCGCGGTGGTATCGCGGACAAAGGCACGAGCATCCCAGACCCGGAAACGCGACGCATCGCCAACCTTCCCCGTCCACAGCAGTGTGGGCGAGGTCTCCAGCAAGGAGACACGGGGCCAGAGGTTGAGCTGATGCGCGGCGTACCGGACCGCAAACGGCCACAGAAAATGGGGGGCAGCCGCATGGATCATGGAGGTACGAGCGATCTCCATGACTAAGCGAATGCGGCGCTCAGCAATCCCATTCTGCTGCGGAGAGGCCGGAAGCGTGAACGTCTGGCGCATGCCGTGCTCCGCACAGAAGGCTGCCAAGAGGTCTGAGGAGAACTCACCACCCCTGTCAGAGTGCAGACGCAGGACAGGAAAGTCCGTCTGGAACCGCTCGCGGAGCTGGAGACGAACAGCGCGGATCCAGGGGATCAAAACATCAGGGACCTCCCCCTTGCGCTGCAAGGGGAAGACCGTGGTGTAACGCGTGTAGTCGTCAACGACCAGCAGGAAGTACCGCTCGTGGCCCTTTCCACGGACGCGGGCTGGGCCCCACACGTCCAGGTGGAGAGTCTGCAGTGGAGCCTCTGTGGGAGGGAACGAGGAGGAGTGAGGAGCGGCGCGCTGCCGCCCCTCGATGCAAGGAATGCAGGGCGGCGCAAGCGAGGGAGGGAGGGCAGGCAGAGACCTGGGAAGGCCAGAGACCAGGAAGCGAAAGTGCATGTTACGAAGGCGAGGCAGGGAGGGGTGACCAAGGCGGTGGTGCCACAGGAGAGTGTCGTGCGACAGCTGGCGACACTCACAATGGGTAGCTACCTGAGCAGACGCGTACACCTGGGGAGACAAAGGGGTGGAGCGCGACGCAGTGGTGAGGGTGTACAGACTAGACCCAGGCGCACGTGTGAACGTGGCCAGGTGACGGCCGGTCCGGGAGCATGTGCAGATCGCCACACGCTGTCCTCCAGGAGTAAAGGTGTCAACCCAGTGATCCTGAAGGACGGCGCTGCTCACCAAATTCGCAGAGAACGAGGGGAGGTGGAGACCAGACAGCTCACCAGACGGGACCGCCGGACACGGAAGCACAGTGGAAGACCATGCAAGCACTGGGCCCCCAGAGGGGTCAGCCAGTGAGACAGGAACAGGTGCAGGGAGGGGAGTGACTGTGGTGCTGTCGCGAAAGAAACAGCTGGAAGCACCACAGTCAAGTGTGAAGGTGTGCAAGGCCTGTGCGGACGCAGTACCAGGAGGAGGAGACTCACAAGCACCTAGTGCCACAGGCGCTATACCTGGGGCTATACCGGGGTCAGGCGGCACACACAAGTAGCAGTCACCCTCAGCACTAACAGTCAATGCATACATGGCATCAAGAATAGCCTCATAGTCAAGATCAAAGATAGGTACATCACGCCTAAGCAGGTCTGCCCAGTTGGGGAACTCAGTAGCATCAGGAAACTTGACGCGCCAGGCGTTGCTAAGCCGAGCGAAGCAGCGGTACTCAGTGTGAAACCATGTGCACTGGCGACCAGCGCGGGGACCTGTGCGAATGATATAGGGGCAGCGACCAGGACCCCCAGACGCCCCACGCCCGGCATACCAGTCAAGAAGCTGCTGGGAAGTGGGGGTCTGGTGCTGACGCTGCTGCTGCTGCTGCTGCTGCCCCTGGCCACCACTGGTGTCACCCAAGCCCCCACCACCGCCGCCACCACCACTCCCCCCTCCGCCGCCCCCGCCGCCGCCACCGCCACTGCTCCCGGCACCACCACCGCCCCCACCACCACCTCCACCCCCACGACCACCGCCACTACCTCCACCGCCCCCGCCGCCTCCACCACCGCCCCCTCCACCGCCACGTCCGCCACCCCTGCCACCCTTGCCCGCCCTGAAGCCGCTGCGCTTCCCACTCGGAGCGGAAGCAGCTGCGACCTTCTCAGCACCAAGGAGGTCGACAGCAGCAGCTGCGGAGGCGTAGGAGGGGGTAAGAGGGGAGGGGGAGCACCCCTCAAAGAGGGGAGTGCAGGGAGTACCACGAGCAGCACCTACAGCTAGAATGTTCTTCTCGGCTGCTAGGAGGTGCTTCTCGAGGTCGTCGACAGTGAGAGAATGGGGGTCAAGGGCGAGGAAGTAGTCCCTGACTGAGCGAAGAGTGTCAGGGAGGCGGGTGAGGAGGAAGTAGAGAGTAAAGTACATCGGGGGGTGGTTCTCTGCGAGGAACTCGGCTGGAAGGGCGGCACAAAGGCGAGTGTCACTAGCGCGTAGGTGAGAGATGAGGTCCTCAGCGGTGGTAAACGAGGACAGGTCGGGGAACAGGTAGGGTAGCATAAGTCGACCGAGGGCTGCAGTGGCCGGGGAAGAGTAGCGGGCAACTACAGCGTCGTACAGTGCCTTGGCAGTCTTGTGCTGGCTACAATGTGCGCGCTCTGTGATCGGCAGATGGTTGCGAATAGCTAGGCGCGTAGCAGCATCGCGGGTCTGCCACTGGGAGCGGGCTAGAGCAGGCTCAGTGTCAGCAGGAGCAACGGCAGTGCCAGACACGTAATCGAACAGGGAAACACCGTCCTTGGCATCAGTCAGGATGAACAGTTGCAGGTCGTCGAGCCAGGTGGCGAACTCTACCGGACGACCGTCAGGATCGAACGCGAGCACATTAAGCGTCGCCATAGTAGCAGTGCAGGCAAGGCAGCGGAGATGGCGTGTAGGGCAAGCAAACGCGCGCAGTAGGGAGGCACGCGCGGCAGGAAAGGCGCTCAAGGCAAGCAGGCGCACTTGGCAGGCAGGCACTCAAGGCAGGCAGGCGCTCTTGGCAGGCAGGCGCTCAAGGCAGGCAGGCACTCAAGGCACGCAGGCGCTCTTGGCAGGCAGGCGCTCAAGGCAGGCGCTCCAGGCAGGCTAAGACAGGCAGGCGCGCGGCTCACGGGCGGCACACGGGCAGGGCACGCGCGGCTGCGGGCTGCGCGCGGCTGCGGGCTGCGCGTGGCTGCTGGCTGCGCGTGGCGATGGGCTGCGCGCGGCTGTGGGCTGCGCGCGGCTGCTGGCTGCGCGTGGCGACGGGCTGCGCGCGACTGCGGGCTGCGTGCGGCGGCGGGCTGCGCGGGCGGGGCCTAAGCGGGCTGCGCGCGGGCGGCTCAAGCGGCGCGCGGGCCGGCAGCAGGCTGCGCGGGCGGCTAACGCGGCGCGCGGGGCCGAAAACGGGCTGCGCGGGCTGCTTAAGCGGCGCGCGCGGGAAAAAAAAAAAGGGCCGCGCGCGTGCAGCCAAGGCGCGCGCGGGCAGCAGGCAAGGCAGGCAGGAAGGCAAGGCGGTAGGTGAGGTAACGCGGTAACTGGTGGGCCCTAATCTTAGGTCCTAAAGACCTACTGCTCTAGATACCATCTTAGTAACTTAGGCATGACTGACTTGCACTATCAAGAGGTTTTGGTACAAGGAAGAAACCTAAGGGGTTGTACCCCACAGTATCTACCCCACTACAGCCTACCCAAAACTATAACACATATATATGTTTGACAGGATGTACTCCTCGTAGTACATGGCTAGCTAGAACAATAGAAACCAATGTATGCAATATTTTTATTAGATTGACATTTACATTCGTATGACAAGATTATCATAAGAGTTTCAATGTCTTAACTCAATGCCCTTATCATGTCAGATTTTCCCCAATTATCACAACAAATGGTTTTAGTTGCACCCGCAATCGATCAGCATCAACCTTCTGATGGAGTTGGGAACGGAGATTGAAAGTATGGTACCGTACTAGACTATGATGTTTCTTTTGGATAGGTAGCCTGCCCTTCCCTTTGATAACCCACGCACCAAACTTGGGTTTGATATACAGGTATGTGCTTATGTTTTGAATATATGTGCACAAACAGGAGAGAACTACAGTAGCTCAAGGGTTGCACTTTTATTCCAATGATCACGTTATGTTGGAATTTACATACTGCACAATTGCTTCAGATCCACCACACAGTGTTGACAAGATTCTAAGTCAGCAGGCAGATGAAACAGAGTCAAGCAGCAACAGAATAAAATAATGAAGGACAATGAGCTGAGATCACCCTATGATTGCTCGTGGAACAAGCATATGCACCTTTGTCCATGTTCTGTATTATAGCCTCATGCTGATCACATCCGCCTAGGGACGGGTTTCATCAATTTGTGATAAACTTAGGTTGAGATCCAATGGTCCAGCACTCTCACCCGTTGCTGATGGGAACCTGTGTGGAAGCCCATCCCTTGACTCTAACGAGGATGTCCCTATATCTGCAGCACCTCGTGTTACACCATGCTGCTGATAATGAGGAAGCTGCTGCTGATAATGAGGAAGCTGCTGCTGCTGCTGCTGCTGCTGTGATAACGGAGTCTGTTGCTGCGGATGAGCCTGCCGTTGTCGATGTCGTTCCAGCAGTTGAAGCACGATTTCTTGCTGCAGTCTCTCTTTCTCCTGTTTCAAGATCTGATCCAGTTGCTCTTGGTGCTGCTGCTGCTGCTGCTGTTGTTGCCGCTGCTGCTGTTGAATTTGCCGTGGCTGTTGTTGTTGCTGCTGCTGTTGCCATTGCTGCTGTTGCTGTTGCTGTTGCCGTTGTTCCTCCTGTTGCTGCTGCTGCTGCTGCTGCTGCTGCTGCTGCTGCTGCTGCTGCTGCTGCTGCTGCTGCTGCTGCTGCTGCTGCTGCTGCTGCTGCTGCTGCTGCTGCTGCTGCTGCTGCTGCTGCTGCTGCTGCTGCTGCTGCTGCTGCTGCTGCTGCTGCTGCAACAGTTGCAGAAGCGCTGCCACGTCCACCGGCTGGTCAGGAATAAAAGGCCCCTGGGAAGCAGCTGCAGCCACCATAGCCACTGCACGCTCCCTTCGTCCCGCCTCCGCTGGCCCCTGCACAATCCCTTGTCTCCGAATCAACCCCTCACTTGCCCGCCCACCTGAATTCAAACTCTCGCTTGAGTAATTGCTCCTCATGCTTCCAGATGGTCTTTCCCACGTCTCAATGAACCTCATCTGAGGGTCACTCACCCACGGCTGACCTGCACTGCCCTGTGCTGCTCGTAAGCGTGGGCTCTGCGTACCTGGTACCTGCTGTGATCGGCCAAGTGAGGGCGCAGGAGCGATTGACTGTGGGCATTGGATGAGGCTCTGACCTTGCAGTCTCGGATGCCTTTGGCCCTGCAGCTGCAAATGCTGCTGCAGGAGCTCGAGCTGCCGTTGGCCTTGTTCCTGCTGTTGCTGCTGCTGCTGCTGCTGCTGCTGCTGCTGCTGATGATGATGTTGCGGTAGCTGCTGCACTTGCGGTAGCTCCTGCACTTGCGGCAGCATTGGTACCTGTCCTTGTGCCTGCAATAGCCTTTGCACCTGCAATGGCAATCGCCCTGCCCAGCCCTGAGCCAGCATCATCCGAATCTGTCCCAGGCCTCCTCCCTGCATCAACTCTTCCCCCACAACCCCTCCCTCTCGCCCTGCTGACTGCCCTTGTCCTACCCTCCCTTCTGACTCTAACCCCTGTCCGACTAGCCTAATTGTCACTCCTTGATGCTCATGCTCATGCTCATACCGGCCCTGCAGCGGCTGTCGTGTCTCCACACTATTCACCACCATGCCCTCTGCCTGCCGCAGCTGCCTTCCCTGCCCACCTCCTCCTCCTCCTCCTCCTACTCCTCCTACTCCTGCCAATACCACACCGCCTCGCATCTCACTCACTGCTCCCTCTCCAGTCCCTCCTGTCCGCAGCTTCTCACCTGAAGCATGTGTGCTTTCTTTTCCTTCCAACACACGGTCTTGCATCCGCTCTGAAGTCACAGGCGTGCCCTGTGTGCTGCTCAGTGTACCACCGCCATCAGCACCGTCCCCTCCTTGCTCCCGTCGCTGTGCCACCAGCCGCTGAATATGCCTCAGCATGTCACTAGCATCATCCAACATTTGCTCCTGCACCGGCCCCTGCCCCTGCCGCTGCCCCTGCCCCTGCCCCTGCCCCTGCCCCTGCCCCTGCCCCTGCCCCTGCCCCTGCCCCTGCCCCTGCCCCTGCCCCTGCCCCTGCCCCTGCCCCTGCCCCTGCCCCTTCTCCTGATCCCGCTGTCCCTGCTCCTGCTCCTGCTCTTGCGCCTGCCCCTCTTCCTGCTTCATGTGCTCGTTCTCCAGTCCTTGCTCACCTGCCTCTGACTGCGCTTGCCCTTGCCTTGAATCAGAAGCCTTTGTCTCCCCCGCACTCCTGGTGCTGCCGCTCTTGGTGCTGCCGCGAAGAGGCCCCTTCCAGTGCTTCCGCATGTGACCTCCCAGCGCCTGCCCTGAGAGGAACACCTTGTTGCACACACCACACATCTTCACACCCGCAAGCACCTTTGCAGCAACGCCGCCGCTGCTTCCGCCGCCTCCGTTGCCTTCGGTACCATCTGTTGCGTGTTCCTCTACTGCTGCCTCCTCTCCCCGTATGTTTCTCGCCCATTTGAGACGGCCTGCATGCACCTTGCCACCACTGACACCCCCTTTCCCCCCACCTTGGCTCATTTCTCCCCGTTCACTCACTCTCCCTTTCCCTCTATCCCCTCTATCCCCTCTATCCCCTCTATCCCCTCTATCCCCTCCTTCCCGCTCCCCTTTTCCTTCTTCTTCCCTCGAATTGCCAGATACTGCTACCACCACACCAGAGGCATCAGCCTGTGGTTGCCTCGATGAGCCAGCAGTAGCAGATCCCTCGCACGCGCTTGCTCCATCAACACCTCTTCCTCTTCTGTGTGCTTCGATCCCCTTCTCCGGTTCAGATACGGCTGCGGCTTCCCGCCCTCCTCCTTCAGCGATTGGCCAGAATCCTTCATCGGCCGCTGTGATGATAGCCCTGCTGTCTGTTGTTGTGCCAATGTGCACGTCCGTGTGGTGAACATCCGGTGTCATGTTCAGGTCAATAACTTCAACCGTGGGAGTATTTGCGCTGGACTCCAAACCCATGTTGCCTCCCTCTCCCCTGCCTCTTGGATGCTCCGTGCCTTCTTCCTTCACCGTAATTCCAAGGCTTTTCTCTCCCTCTCCCTTGTTCTCTGCCTTGTTGATCGCCTGCATCGCTGACATTGCTGCTGCAACAACAGCAGCACCACCAGCACCGGCACCGCCAGCACCAGCACCAGCAGCCGCACTAGCACGAGATGCAGCAGCACCCGCAGAAGCAGCAGCAGCAGCAGCAACAGCAGATCCAGCGGCACCTGTACCAGCCCCAGCGCCAGCGCCTCTCCCACCTCCGATCCAGTACCGTTGCAATCCCTCGCCTTCAAGGAGCCTCTCATCCCCTCTTCGCTTCCCTGCACGGCTACCGCCTCTGGTCATTCCATCCATCCACCCCTCCCCTGCGCCCTCCCATCGCCTCTGATGCACGGTGCTTCCTTTTCCTTGTTGCTCACCTCGAAAGAATGCCTCATTCGTTCCCTCCAAACCCACTCCTGAAAAAAGAGCAGCAGCAGCAGTAGCAGCAGCTGCTGCAACAGTAGCAGGAGAAGAAGCAGGAGCAGCAGCACCAGAATCGGTGGCAGATCGCAACATCGCTGGCACCACCATGGGTCTGGGCCTGATGGCAGCAGGCTCACTTCTCACTCTTGGGTAGCGAGCACTCACTGGCCCTAACCTCATTCCCAGAGCAGCTGTTGCACTTTCACCGTGGTTCTGTTGACTGTGCTGTTGCTGCTGCTGCTGCTGTTGCTGTTGCTGTTGCTGTTGCTGTTGCTGTTGCTGTTGCTGTTGCTGTTGCTGTTCATGTTGCTGCTGCTGTTGCTGTTGCTGACGCTGTTGCTGTTGCTGTTGCTGTTCCTGTTGCTGCTGCTGTTGCTGGCGCTGTTGCTGTTGCTGTTGCTGTTGCTGCCCACTGGCATGGAAGAGACTTCCGTCGCGTGCCTCTCCTTGTGGTCTCTCCACCATGGTAATCACTGGCTGAGGAGACAACCAAGCAATAGATGAAGACAGCGATAAACCACGGCCACTGCTGTTTCCATCTGCCTGACCTGCCTTCACCAAACCCTCTGTTGGTGCTGCTTCCGCCTCGGCCGACCCTTGCTTGGTCACCATCCGTACAAGATCCTTGAACGCAGGAGTGACAAATCCCTTTTGCCCCATCATGCCACCTCCTGCTGCTCCCCTTTTGTCAACAAACGCTGCTGTTCCTGCTGCTGCTGCTGCTGTTGTTGCGGCCGGTGCTGCCAGATCCGTTGTCATGGCCGCTGCAGCTGTTCGCCTCTCCGCTGTTGTCAAGTCTGCAGTTGCAATGAACTGGGGCATGATAGGTGGTGGTAAATGACCCTCCTTCCCAGTCAAGCGCATGGACATGGGTGCACTCACGAGCAACGAAGTGGAGAGGCATGCAGAGAGCGAGGGAGACAACAAATCCTCAGTTTGAGCTTCGGAATGTCCCGAGGTTGCATCAGCTGAGAAAGAGAGGCCTGATGAGGAATTTTGTGGCAGTCCAGGCACCTTCACAAGAGTCAGTGCCGTTGCTGCAGCTGCTTCTCCTTGTTCTTCTCCTGCTCTTCTTCCCTCCTCTGTTCGTGTTGCTTCACGAGCTTCTGGAGGTTTTGTTGCTCCGGCTGCTGATGGCGGCGGCTGCGGCTTCGCTGGCACGGTTCCTGCTGTTGCTGCTGGAACAGCTGATGATGATGCAGCAATGAGTGCTTGTGCGTTAGGCACAGCACGAGATAGGCCCGAGCCAGATTTTCTCTGATCAGCAGCAGCATGATCACGCTGGCTACTAGCCCCCCAGGTGATGATGGATCTCCAACTCTCCTGTGTCTTCTCGAGCTGCACATGTGTCAAACCATCACGCTCATGTTCGGCACCACTACCACCATCATCGTGATCATGATCATCATTCTTAGCACCATCATCGTCCGCCGCTGACGACGCCGCATCGCCGTCGTCCGCATTGTCCCTCTCCATCCCATCTTCTCCCTCCCTGCTACCGTAGCCATCCCACTGCTCCATGCTGACTAACCTCTTCTGTTCTCAGGCTGGCAAAATTCCAATACAGGCCAGTTTTTATCTCTCAGGGAGTATGTGGCCTGCACTGTGACCTCTCTTAAGGGCGGCACGCATGTGTTGCTTCATTTTGTCAGGGGTACCTTGTCCAGTGGTGGCGCGGGGCCCATATTGTCCTGGCGGCTCCGATCGTTTGCTCCTTCTAGCGACGTTTGCAACAAAGGTGGGCAGCTGGATCACCAGCAAATCTATATCTTTTATCAATCCGCCATTCAACTACTAAAAGAACAAAAGTATGCCGCAACAACGGCTGCTACAGGCTGTAGTACAACTGCGGTGCTACTTAAGGGGCTCAAATACCGAAAGGACCTGCGCATAGCAGCCGCTGGATCATCCGGAAATGACCTGAACGCGGCGTTCCGAAAGCTAACTCTCTGGATCCGGACTCGTCCCCAGGACTACGAACATTGCGAAAAAACTTTCTGGCCCTCTATGGTGTCTGATTTGCAGTTCTACTTCAAATACATGTTGACATGTAATGATGTCTTTACTAGAAGTACAAGTCTCTCCACTTGAAGGTGCTGCTGGTTGGGGGAAGACTCTGCGGAGCTCGAAGCTTCCTCGCGAAGCTAAGGGTCCTCGCAGAAAGAGAAGCCATGAAGTCCCCGTTTTGGAGAAAAAGACGAATTGAGCAGTGAAGCAAAGATATGGCTATCTTACAAGCGTCCTAATGTTGACAACCTGGGCTAGAAATCACGGCTTCTCTGAGTTTGGGTACCCTTTGAAAAGCAGCAAATGGATTTGGAAAAGAGAGGCTTCTTCAGCAAGAACACACTTCCAGCGAACCCAATGTTTTCCCGAGAATCAGGATTCTCGTCAGGGAGCACAAATTATGTTATCTCGAAGATAATGACCACCCACATCATGAACAAAGAGAAACGATTCGATGGTTTTCTTTTAAATCGACACTACGTGTCGACGAAACGCGGATGAACGTTTAGGCGTGTTTCAACCAAAATACAAGAACGGTTTGCTGTTCTGCTCGATTATGGCACAAGGAAACGGCAGCATTCAACAAGTTCTAAACGAACTTAGTTCTCAAAATGCATTAGACAAGGTTTCTTATTGAGAGACCAGCAACATACCACACTCAGTGTGGACGCTTGATGTTTTAACCCACACCAGGGTGTTCCAAAAAAACCACCGACTTGTAATCCCTGCCGCGGGTGTGTGGTGACAGCTGGGCTGAACAGCTCAGTGCAAGTCCTACAGAAAATGGTTCAGTGGGCGGGATACAGTTGACAGAAAATGATTTTGAGTTGCGGCGGCCACCGGTGATGCCAAAATTAACGCGACAGTTAAAGAATACTGAACAGTTGAGATCCACCTATCTAGTGTTCAGTTCGACAGCTGGAGAAAATCACCGAAATCCGCAGGCACCTTGTGGCTGGAGTATCATCACGGACAGCCTCGATGTCGCTGTCTTCGTCAGAAGCAGTGATGGTGGTAACGGGGTTCGCCCGTTGTCACCGCCAGCCTCTTGTGCCAAGGGCACCGCCACACAGTGCGGAACTGTACTTGCACGAAAATCCGTTAACGAAGAGGTCGTCCAGAGCGTAACTTACAAGGGACATCACACAAGCATCGATATTGGATCTGATCGGGATGCAGCAAGAGTGAACTAGCGTTCCCGTGTTTATACATATGATGCCCAGCCTTCTCCCGTGAATATGCTCAGCGCTTGAGTGTACAGTCCCATGCTAGTATCGCAGCCGTTGATCACTCAACTCATCACGCTGTCGTCCGTCCGTAGTGTCACCCCTTGAGGCACCCAAAATGTCACTTCTCAGTTGCAGGCCCATTTTCGCCGTGGCAAGAATTGGCGAAGTAGGAGAAAACACTATTCCTTTATCAGTCCATTTGGTTAAACATAGTTTGAGTAATTCGAACACACATTTAGTGTATTACGCGTGTACTTCTGTCATGAAACAACCTAAACTATTTCTGCCTTGATCAATCAGTCGGTCAGACACTCCAGGACATCTGTCGATGTCGCAAAGCTGCCAGACTGGTCACAGCGCATGCCCCAGATTTTCCGTTCCCACTTTTGTGTTCCTTTGGTTTCAGAAACGAAACTTAAAAATACAAAACCAAGGAGTAGTCTGCCCACGGGTGTACTAGGTGTGCTGAACTGTATTTGTGGGGGACCATCTGTATACTCTAGTTTCGAGTATGTGCACACCACACGACTGCTGCCCGGTTCAACATTCTGCAACTATTCATTTTCCACATTCCTCGATAATTGCGACAGACCTATTCATGACAGTCAATGGAAAGGAGTTGCAGCAACCGTCCACCCCACCTAGCGTGTGTCGAGTTTTGTCCTCCACTCGGGACGGATGTCGACACATTTTAGCCCTCAGATGTTCGGGTTACCAAACATCAAGCGGTTTGCATTGCTCAAAAGACTGTCAACGTTCACATTGAACACGTTCGCACGACAAAGGGGATTTGTTGGAGAGTACAACAGATTCTCCGACTGGAAAACAGCGACAGCACACAAGCGATCTGACACCTGCTCACCGCAACCGCTGGCTGCCCATCATGCGATCTGTACAACTCATCTTTCCAAACCCAGTGGCTGAGTGTGGATGTTTCGAAAACTGCGTAACAGAATGATGTATACCCTGTGTATTGTGCTGCATTTGTTTCGATTAGGCCTCGCGGGAACGAGGTCTGATACGCCAGATTCCGCCCCAATAGTACAACCACCGCCCAAGCAATCATTGTACAGTAAACGAGCACAGACTCATTTCAATCTACAGTACACGTAACATTGAAAGAACACTCAAACATTCTCAAGAGATTGTGTTTAGTATGTGTAATAATTTGATATAACACTCACACAGTCTCTCATTAGCATTTGAGAGGTGAATGTC